CCCCCAATCCCTGGGCTCCCCTAACGGGTGACCCACCCAGGCCAGCTCCGGCCCTTTAAGAAAAGAAAAGCAGAGAAGAGCCCGGGAAGTCACGACTCCTGCAGTGACGTTGGGGCTTTGCGGGGCTCGTGCAGAGCCCCCTACATGGCACGGGGCAGTGGGGATCGCCCCCCTGGTGGCAGGAGCAGTGAGTCCAGGATTTTGGGGCGGGGGTTCTGGAAGGGCTGGAGCTGGCCTGTGTGGGGCACCGGTGGAGGGGCTGAGGGAATGAGTGGGGGGGTCAGGAGGCTCGTGCAGAGCCAACACAGCATGGGGCAATGGGGGGCAGTGGGGATCTCCCCCTGCTTGGCAGCGTGAGCAGGGCTTTGTTTTTTACAAGTGCCGGGAGCTGGGGCAGCAATTGCCGGGCTGGGAGAGGGGTTGGAGTGGGGGATGGCCTGCTGCCAAATCTACCAATCAGATTCAGCCAAATTGAATCGGGACTGTGATTCGAATCACCAAATTGAGTAACTATCCCCCAAATAGTGGGAATCCAAATCCGAGGCGAATACTAGCCACATAGCACAGGCCTACTGTGTACATGTGCGTTACTCTAATTTTCATGCTGCGTAATATGGCCATGTTGCCCCCTTTTCAGATGAGTATTAATTTACTTTCAGACTAAGGGACATCATGTTTCAAACCAGAAAGTCTCCGTTCCCTTGACCATCTTTGTGGAACTTCCTTTGTCTTCTCATTTCCCTCTTGTCAACTCTGGGACCTCAGGCCCAGTTTGGTGACAACCACGCACTCCCTACCATGTGGTACCCATCCATTCATAGTTTCATAGCAGGTAGGGTCGGAAGGGACCTGAGCAGCTCATCTAGTCCGACCCCCTGCTGTGGCAGGAAAGAGCACTGGGGTCAAACAACCCCAGCAATGTGTTCTTCCAGGCTCCTCTTAAAGACCCCCAGGGTAGAAGCCAGCACCACTTCTCTCGGAAGTTGGTTCCAGATCCTAGCCACCCTGACTGTGAAGTAGCACCTCCTGATATCTAGCCTGAATCTACCCTCTGCCAGCTTGTGACCATTATTTCTAGTCACTCCTAGTAGTGCTCAGGGGAACAGGGACTCCCCCAGTGCCTGCCAGTCCCCTCTCACTAGTTAGTAAATGGCCACCAGATCCCCCCTCAGCCTTCTCTTGTGGAGGCTGAACAGGTTCAGGTCCCTTAGCCTCTCCTCGTAGGGCCTGCCTTGCTGACCCCTGATCATGCGGGTGGCCCTCCTCTGGACCCTCTCCATGTTGTCCACATCCCTCCTGAAGTGCGGCGCCCAGAACTGGATGCAGTACTCCAACTGCAGCCTGACCAGTGCTGCATAGCAGGGGAGGATCACCTTCTTGGACCTGCTCGAGATGCATCTGTGGATGCATGACAAGGTGTGGTTGGCCTTCCTGACCGTGTCCCCACACTGTCGACCCATGTTCATTTTGGCATCAATAACGACTCCAAGATCCTTTTCTGCCTCTGCACTGACGAGAAGGGAGT